GGAGGAGGAGGAGGGGAGGAGGAGAAGGAGGAGGAGGAGGAGGAGGAGGAGGAGGAGGAGGAGGATAGTAGGAGGAGGAGGAGGAGGAGCAGGATAGGAGGAGGAGGAGGAGGAGGAGGAGGAGGAGGAGGAGCAGGAGAGTGAACCCAGCACGTTGCCAACCTTACAAAAGGAAGCCGTTATTCTATCCATTGGGGGCAGCGCGTGCTACTCGCTCGGGCGGGGGGAGGGAGGGTGGCGGCGGGGTGCAACGGTAAGGGCGGCCAGAGTATACCCCCAGAGGCGCGCCCGCAACACGGGCGCAACATAGGTGTGTTTACGACAACGCATGCGTGCACCACAGCGCCTGCGTACACCACGGTGCAGTTCACCCTAGCAGCTGCGCGCACCATGGCGCCACATCGCCTGTGTACACCACAGCGCCTCTGTGCACTTCAACGCCCGCGTGCGCAACAGTGCCATTGCAAACCACGGTACCGACCGTTTTTGCACACCACGGCGCATGCACACAGCACACCACCTGTGTGCACCACACCGTCACCGTACACCACAGCGCCTGCGTGCACCAGAGAGCTTGTGCACACCTCAGCGCAGTGCTTGTCGACGACACAGCACTTGCGTCAGACACCTTGCAATGTAATGAAGAAGACGAGGACGGCGAGAGGAGGAACGCTACGACGGCGACAACGACGACGACAACGACGACGACGCCGACGACGACGCCGACGACGCCGACGACGACGATGTCGACGATGACGACGACGACGACGACGACGACGACGACGACAATGCATGTGCACCTTCGGGAGCCTCTCGGCCAAGTCGGTCATCGTCGTCGTCGTCGCCGTCGTATTGTCGTCGGACTCCTCCTCCAAATCCTCCTCCTCCTCCTCCTCCTCCTCCTCGTCCTCCTCCTCATCCTTCTCCTCCTACTCCTTGTCCTCCTCCTCATGGGGATGCCACGTCCGATGGCAACTCCGAAAATTCACGCACCTGGCTGGTTCCCAGGCGTTACCGTTAGTGGGGGGGAGGGGGGGAAGGTGGGGGGGTAACCCCGGAGCCTGTAAGAAAACTGTTTCAAAAGAAGGAAAAGGAGGAGGAGGAGGAGGAGGAGGAAAAGCAGGAGGAGGAGGAGGAGGAAGAGGAGGTACCTTTTTGGTCCTCGAAATTCTTTCTGGTGCTTCAGGCTAAAATAGGTTGGAACATCATAACCTGGAATCAGGCTCAGTGGAGCGGGATGAGCCCACAAGTCGCAAATCGGGCATGCTGGCCTGCGTCAGACCAAGAACAGGCCGTGCCCCACTCCCCGGCTGATGCTGCGCTGCCGGCACGCACATCCGCGGGCCGCCGTCACGATCCAATCCAATCACCCTCCCCCATCCCCTCGCCCCGCGATGTCCCTGCTTCCCCCTCCCTCCCTCCCCTCCCTCCTCCTCCCCTCCCTCCTCCCCTCCCTCCCTCCCCCCCCCCCGCTCGAGGCCGCTTCGGTCTCACAGGACGGGCAGGCACCGACCCCGCCCCCCGCCACCTCCGCCTCGGCGGACACCCGAGCTCCTGGCGCAGGTCCCGCCTGCCACAGGAGGAGGGCCGAGGCAGGCCGTCCCGATGGGGGGGATCTTCTCTCGCTGTAAGGACTGATCTGGACCCTGGTCTTTGCTGGCTGACGGTGGCCCGATACCGAGCTCCAGACATTACCGCCTCGGACAGAGAAGGCGGACACGCTTGCAACCGTACTCTGGGTTTCTAAATAAGCGTGTGGGGTCCCCCCCCGACGGGGGTCAACCTCGCCTCGTCGTCGCGCCGCGACGGGGGGTCGGAGCGCCTTCGGCGCGCGGTGGCTGCCCGCGACGGAGGTCGATTTGGGGCTGCCGGCGGGGGAGACGCCCCCGCGACGCCTATTAAGAAACTCGGAGTGTGGCGGATACGTCGGCGGCAAAGCAGAGCGGACATCGGCACCGAGGGAGCCTGCAATGCATGGCGGGCACTGCAGCCCTGCCTGCGGCATCGCCCAAAAGTACGGCGGCATTCCGGAGTCGGGGGGACCCCCTCGCCCCGCACTGTCCCCCTGCCCCCCCCCCTCCTCGCTACCCCCCATCCCTTGACGGGCCTCTTTTCCACCACCACCACAACCATAAGTTCGATGGGGAGGAGGGAGGAGGAGGAGGAGGAGGAGGAGGAGGAGGAGGAGGAGGAGGAAGAGGACGACGAGGCGGAGGACGGAGAGGAGGAGGAGGAGGAGGAGGAGGAGGAGGAGGAGGAGGTGGAGGAGGACCCCCCCTCTCCCTCCAACTTATGGTGGTTGTGGTGGAAAACAAGCCCATCATCTCTCTCCCTCCCTCTCCCACCCCCCTCCTTCTTCGTCAAGCGCGCGGCGGCCTCCTCCTTCTCCGCTGCCTCCAACCCCCATCCGGCCCTTCCGAACGCCACGTTCCCGCTGCAGCGCTGGCCTCATCTCACTGTGATTCGGCTCTTCCGGCTCGTGCTCCTGCTGCAGCGTCGGCTTCGTTTCCGAGCCTCCGGTCCTTCTAGATCTTGGTTCCCCTGCAACGCGGGTCTCGTTCCCTCGGTGTCAGTCCTTCGACATCGTGCCCCCGCTGCAGCGCTGATCTAATGTTGCGCTTCCTTCCCGCGTTCCCCAGCTGTTCAGTCGCTTCTCCCGTCCTGGGCCATGCCTGGTTTCCTTATCACCTTGTTGTCGAAATGACTCGCGTTTTCGATGCGATGCCATGCTATGCCGTGTTATTCCATGCGTCACGTTCCCCCTCGGGACCATTCCCCAGTTCGACATCCGATTGTGCGAATTAGAAGGGGGTCTGCGCAATGGTAAGGGATGGGGGGGCGGGGTAGGACGTCATATATAACGTGTCCGCTCCTAGCTTGCCCCCATATCCCCGTCCTTCTCTCTCCGGCCCCTCCTCCCTCGTTGGCTGCACGGCGGCCTCCTCCTCCTTCGCCCCTTCGGCCACTGCGGCCTGCGGCGGGGGGGTGCCCTTCTGTCGGGAACGAGGAGGGACAATGAGGAAGGAGGAAGGGCGAAGAGATAACAGAAAGGGGGGGGGAGGAGGACCAGTGTAAGCACAACACGTATCAACGGTGTTGCAGTAAATCCTACCTCCAAGTGCCCCTTTTTCATCGGTCCCAATGCTGGAAATCCCCAACTGGAAGACAACAGTCTGAGGATCTCCAATCGTGCCAGAATACCATTCCTGAACTTCACTGCCGCGAATCAGCTAGACTGATGCGTCCGGCCATTCCTCAGTAGTACACCAGAGAACCAACCACTCCTGGCACTTCAACACCGCGATTCAACATGGTTGTTGCGTCCTGGCAGTCCCAACGCGCACCAGAACAACAATCCCAGTGCTTCAACTATACGAACCCTTGAAACTGCTGCAGGCGTTTACAACGAGTGCGCACGGCGCTAAGGCGAAAGCCACCTTTTGAAACATGAACACCTTCCATCCTGGAAGCTGCTGAACACGTGTGAGACGGATGTGCGCGGCGCTGGAGCGGGGGGTGGGAGAGGGGGAGGGAGAAGGAGGGCAGAGAATGCAGGGGGGAGGTAGGGAGGAGAAGGAGGAGGAGGGCAGAAGACTAATAAAGGGGGAGAAAGGGGATACGGCGAAGGAAGGGGAAGTATGAGGGAGGAGAGGGGGGATGGAGAAGGAAGGATGAGGAGCACGAAACCATGTCGATTACCTATGCGCGAACACACTTGGATCCGCAGCATTGGTCGCACGCTCGAGATGACCAGGCCCGAAAAAACTAGACGAAAAAGCAGGAGGGGCAAGAATGAGGACAAAAGGAATGACGGAAGGGACAAGGGGGGAATAGAGAAGGCGGGGGAGAAAGGGGTAAGGGTCCAATTCGTTTAGCGGGTTCTAGGAGGTTTGAAGGGGCAGAGAAGGGCGGGGTGAGGCCCCAGGCGTTGTTGGAAGTTCCTAGGGGGCGCTCAGAGAGTCTGGGGGGGGGCCAGGTGGAAGACAGGAAGGGAGCAGATGAGTAGAGAAGAAGAATGGAGGAAGAGGGAGAGAGGAGGAGGAAGAGGAGGAGGAGGAGGAGGTGGAGGTGGAGGATTTTTTCACCTGGACCTTTTTCCTAGCCTGGTCTCAGGCTAGGACCCAAGCGGTGACCTCATGCGGTGGCTGACTTCGGCAGCAACCCATGGGCCCCGACAAAAAGAGCTAGTTCGAGCCACATCTGGGCTCATAGCTCACGCGAGCAGCTTTCGAGCGAGGACCCTCCGCACCATCCTCACAGCTCGTCTCGCGGCCCCTCGCCCCACTCTCGTTGGAGGGAGCCGAGGGAAAAGAATTCACTGCCTGCTGCACTGACTCGTCACGATTGGCGGTGTGACGAGCAAACTTGTTGGGCCGAGACTCGGCACCAAAATCGGAGGCTGGGCGGATCCTCGACCCCTGGTCTGCAGGGGTCGAGTGGGACAAAACACTACATTGGTACGACCCTTCGTGGGAAGGCGCTCTGAGACCGTGGATTTCGATACCATCCGAATCAAAAGTTGGGGACGGGCGTTGAAACAAACCTTGGTCGCTCTCAGTGAGAGCGTGAGGACCCTCTGCACCATCCTCACAGCTCAGCACGTGACCCCTAGCCCCTCTCTCGTTGGAGGGAACCGAGGGAAGAGAGAAACCAGCCTGCTGCACTGACTCGGCACAATTGGCGGTGTGTCGAGCCGTCTTGTAGGGCCGAACTTCACCACAAGAAACAGACGCAGTGCGGATCCTCGACCCCTGGACTGCAGGGGTCGAGTGGGACAACTGGGGAGTGGCAGCAGCAACCACGACCTGCACGACAGACGACTGGTCAACGACCTCCTCACGCTGCTGCCCATCTCCCGTGAACGGCAAAACGGTGCCATCCTGCAAAAGACTGGTGCGGGCGAAGCTGCTCGGGCCACTTGGGCCACTGACTGAGATTGCTGCAGCAGCCGTATCGACAGACGAAGACTCAACGACATTGTTAATCTGCCGCAGCTCCTGGCTCGCAGGTTGCACGGACGACGACTCAACGAGAATTTCTTCCTGCGAGCCAGGGTGAGCATTCACAACTTCTGGTGATATTTCGACAGTCACACCAGGAAGTCGTGGGTGTCGACCCTTACATATTCTGTACTTCCATCTCTCAGCATTGTTCCTGGTAGGGCGCCCGCACTTCTTACCCAGGAGAGCTAGAGGACCCAGGGTCGAGACAGCCTTGCAACTGACACAAACGAACAACGGAGAGTCGTCGCTACACTGGAAGGATAGAAGCCTGTGTCCGAGAGCCGAGACACGCCACAAAGTGTCGGGAATAACGCCAGAACAACCCTCACATGCAGGCTTGCCTGAGCCACCGAAAATTAACGGAGTGGGATGCTTAGTGCGCAAGCAAACTCCACAACGCCAATAAGAGCGGCACCACTCCCACTCATGCTCAAACTCCGTGCCAGGTTTCACTTTGATTTCCTTAGGGGGCCTGGCCAGCACAACCCCGCTGAGGTCGAGCCGAGGCCACAGTGGCAAAATCCGAGCGGCCAGGCGGCACACAGCCTTCGCAACGCTGATGTTGTGCGCAAGGTCGGTCAGTTGGGCGTCCGTGGGCCTAGGATGCGTGGCGAGGCCAGCCTTGGCAGCCTCATCAGCAGCATCATTGCCAATTTTTAAAAAATCGGTCCCTGTCGGACAGGTCATCCGAGTCCACAACATGGGCTTTGACTTTGTGGAGGGTTCCCGTCCACCACGAAGAAAAACTAGAAAACATGAGCCCCGCATAAGGCCTCTTATGGGACAGCTTAATGGCGGGGGGCTCACCGTGGGCACGAACAACGTTGAGACAGTCGGAGTAGCCAGTAGAGGGGCCAGCAAGGCACTGGGAGGAAGCTTCGAGGGCCCCGTACTCCCCAGCCTGGCTGGTCTGGGGGAGGGGGGCCCACATAGGCCCAAACGCACTAAACAATTTAGAACCGTCGTCTGCGTGGGCTGTAAAACCCCAGCTTGCTCTGGATAACTCTTTAATGATGTGACGCTGACAGCTGCCGTCCATGAATATATGACCCGAGACCGCCGTATCGACCCTATCAGGATCTCCTACCCACCTGGTCTGGGTACCTCCTTCACCGCGAGGACGGGGAACCGAGTCACCTGGGTGCGGGAACAGACCCTTAGTATAGAGGAGGAGGGTGGCAGGGTCAGAAAGATCGCACGACCGAGCATCTTGCTGGATCCGATCTTTCACCAGGTCGTCGCGATCTTCCTGAACGTTGGGGCAGAACCACAGGCGGTGCATGAGGCTGTCAGAAGCAGCCAGGCACACAGAGCAAAGATCGGAGTCGAGCTGGTATCCCAGGGCGATCGCACGGTCCCTGGTCCAGGTCGCCCCACAGCTAAGCCCGCGGACACTGCCCTTCTCGAGGGCCGTGAATTTGCTAGAGTGGAGCTGGGCCTCCACCACATCGTAGCACAGGCGCATGCCAACACCTAACGCCTGGCCTGAGTCTCTCTGCAGCTGGCGGAGGACCCCTTCAACCAACAGCTTTTTGACCAGGGAGGGGGAAAGAGACGTGAGCCCAATAGTTTCCCCGAAATCATTAATGAGCTCAGTGAACGACTTCATACCCCAGTGGGTACGCTGCAGAGAGAGCTTCATGGCTCCCAAAGGCCCAGCAACAGTACGCCACGAGAGGTCCTTATCGTCAGGATCCCTGATGAAGATGGTCTCCCAGGCTTCTCGCAGAAACCTGAGATCAAGGGGGTACTTGAAAATCCTAACCTGGTTGGCCCAGACCTCCTTGCTGTAACGGATGACAGGGGCGACAGCGTAGGTAGCAGTAGGGTCCCTCTCAAAGATGAGCAGGGACGTGAGGGACCTCATGCCAGCGGAAGGTTTGAGGACCCTACCGAGCCCCTGGCGGAGCCCCTGGAGCTCGAAGCCGGAAACTCCGTGAACCTCCGAACCGTACGTGACGCCCGCCAGGGGCCCCGACGTGAAAACTTTCCTGCAATACCTCTGCCCCAGGATGCCTCTCAACCTCTTGAGTCGGGCGACCCTCTGCTTGAAAGCTTTGCACCTAACAGAAAATGCGCGGCCGCGCCCAGCTTGCCGTCGGGGCCGACCAGCAGTGTCATCAACTCCTAGATTCACAGCACAAGAAATACATGAGGGTCCACCCACATGCTCTAAAAGTGACCTGATCTTGTTGTCGACAGCCTGGTCGGAGCAGATCACAGACGCCTTATCTTCAGAAACCACCACCTGCATATCGCCCGACAGAACCGAATACAATTGAGTGGCCCCCGTGACAATGTCATCGACGACTGATCTGGCCGAACCCGTAGCTTGCAACCCGTAATCGTCGATAAATATATATATATATATATATATATGTCGAGGGCATCGCGGACTTTCTGCGGCAGCAGGTCGATCGTGGGAATGGCAAAGACCCTCGCGAAGGTAGTGGCAAAGGAATCCCCCGCAATGACTCCTTGCCAGGCGAGAAAAAGGCACTTTAACGATCCCGCTGATATCGATGAACCTTGGGCCTCTATAGCCCGCCATGCAGAGTCGTGAAATAGGAGAAGGGAAACCTAGATCATCATACCTCTGCTGAAGAATGTCGAGCCTAATAGATTCGTAAAACTTGTGGAGGTCCCATAACACAGAGCACGCAACACCCTTCTTATCCTTCCTGCTCGTTGCATGTTCCGAACGCACAGCTTGCCTCCATACAACATCCCCAGTCCCAGTGAAAGCTCCTGCACTGAGGTACGATGTATTGAACCTGGCCTCCCATTGGACAGCGCACGGTCTCCTCATCCTCCCCCATGTCCGATATGCCGAGCTAAACAATCCGATGGGTCTCCACCCACCAGCAGGCTTGGGCAAAAGCGCAACCATGATGGCTCGCAGGTGGTTGGGCAAAAAGGGAGGATGCCTCCACGATGCTGATAATACGCATTAATGCCACCAGCGCGTCATCACAGAGCGAGGCATAGTGGCGCATATGGAAGCCGTCGACACTGGTGGCCGTGCGAAAGGGGTACGCCATGGCAACTTCTCTCAGCAAGTCGGGCGACTCGAAGGGGAGCGGATCCTGATACTCGATGGGCTCTTGCTTGGGGGGCTCCACAGTGGCCTTCCATAACCCACAGAAACGAGCAGCCTCCGAATGTAGAAGAGCTTGGGGATCAGACAAGACAACACCCTTAGCCGACAGAGTAGAACATGGGGACCACGGGGCGACTTCTTTGGTCCACCAATGGGCTCTGCGGGCACCGTTTGAAACACCTTCCAGGATCCAGGACTTCCAAGACTTGTTCGCCACCTCGCGCTGCTTGATGGAAAAATCACCCAGGAACTCCGAAACTTCGTCCAGGATACTAGCACCAACAATAATCAAACCTTCTAAAACTTCAGTCTCACCAGGAACATCACGAGGGATACAACCTGTAGAACCGTCGCCCTTGGTCGAGTTGAACAGGTTGCTTTTCCCACGGCAAGAGACAGGGTTCCATCTCATACATCCTTGAACAAACTGCTGCACCTTCCCCCAGCAGCCCTGGCAGACCCCCATGCTGTCGACAATGATGTCGGGGGGGCGAAGGAGGAAGTTGCCAGAGTCGAGGGCCGAGCCCTTCACGTCACAGCCGAGGTTCGAGCAGAAAATGCGCAGGGTGCTCTCCAAACAACGAACTCCGTACAATTCAGGCAGCCGTGAAGGGCGCCTATCTTTATCCAAAACAGAGCGCCACGCAAGCTTGGGCAACCTGCCACGGGTGCCTAAAACAGGAAGAGAACACTGACGATTGGCGGCCAACTCTCTCTCCGCCGTGTTAGTCCAAAGCTTATATAACATATTAAGGCGACGCTGCAAACACTGTCTGGGGACACGGTTACGAACCAACCCCAAACCATAAGACGCACAGTCCAAAACATCCTTCCAGTCTTGAGGGGCAGGGGCAGGGCCAATATGGGCTCTATCGGGACGGGGGGAGGGTTAACAAACCCCGAAGCCTGCAAACTGGCCAGCTGAGGGAAGAAGCCCAACTGCACGGGCTTGTGCGGCTTGGTGGCCGCCTCCAAGCAGACACGGGTGGCCTTCACGTCCTGCGAGAGCCCGCTGGAAACCAGGAAATAGTCGAGCATGCGGACCCCTTCCTTGCTCGTGCCCGCGCAGGTGCCCTTGGATTCAGGCACGACCAGGTTGGCACTGAGCACCGAGACCAAATCGCATGAAGCCAGAACATCAGGCTCCATCTGGAAGTCCGCACCCAAGATGAACGGACCAGGAAACGACGATAATTCAGCGCCGAACTTGCACAAGATACCCAGATTGGACTCGGAGAGGCCCCCGGAGTCCCTGAGATACGCGGAGACCACCAGGATAGAGACTCCGCCTGGGATCTGAACAATAGCTGAAGCAGCACGATGAGGAACCAGAGTGGGGCCCACCTTAGGCGAGACGTCATGGCAGCCCAAGAAGTCCCTGACGAAGATGCCCACTCCACCAGAGGTCCCGAGCCCTATACCTGGGGCCGCTGGGACGAGCCTGGACTTCCAGCCTGATCGGAGGCCCCATTGGGAGGCCTCGCCAACCAGATCACCCAGAAGATGATGTTCTTGAACAAGCACCACATGAGCCGTCGTACGACTCAACCACGCCTTCGCCGCATTCCAACCCGTGCAGTTAGCTGTCTCCACGACCAAATCAAAACTGTCGAGATCCGAGCAAGCTGGGGCCCAGAGACAACTGCCAAAATTCAAGGACGGAGCCTTGGGGGCGGGAACGCGGCACAGCCTGGCAATAGAAGGTGAAACATGCAAAAAGTCACCCCCCCCGACACGCTGCTCACGTGAGCCTTAGGCGTCGGGGGGGGTTGTTTGAGAAGGCGGCTCAGGCTGCATCCTGATGGCGAGCATCTCCTGCGCGAGCTGCCGAACGTCAGGATGTGGGACAGCATCAGCCTCATGAGCTCCCCCGTGGTCTCCAGAAGAGCTGTTGTCTGCACTGCCTCCTCCACTGGCGGAGTCCTCAAGAACTCCATCCGCTGCATCTCCAAGCTCCTGCGGTGGACGAGCACCAGCGGGGCTGCTGCCCCGCGCGATCTCCTCAGCAGGCTGGACGGAAGTCTCTTCAGGCTTCCTCTTGTGGAGCTTGGACATGTGCTGGAGGTGGGAGGCTTTGATCTGGTCCACAGACTGCTGAACCTTCTCAAACAGTTGCTTCGTGATGGCGGCCACACTCTGCTCCAGCTCGCGTTTCCTGGCCTCGAACTGGTTGTGGTCGTCGGCTGAGAGCTCGTACTCCTTAGCGTCGAGACCGAGGATGCCTTCACCGTGGTCGATGGTGAGGGCCCCTTCCTTACCGTCGAGGATGTCGCGCAGGCAGAGTTTGCCAACAGACCGAGGAGGATCAGGATACACCACATGATGCAGCTGCTCGACCAAGGCTTTGTGCTCCTTGTCGGCCTCGGACAGCTCGGCAGTGAGTTTGGCCATAGCTTCTTCGCATTGATACACCCACTTCCTCGCCCTGGCGACATCATCAATCTCCTTCTTGAGGCGGCGCTCGATGGAATGCACACGCTGGCGCGCCTCCTCAGTTTGCTTTTCCAGGGGCTTGGGTGGGATCTCCTTGGGTTTCTTAGCTACAAGCCACACCTTATACTGAGAAGCTGCAATAGAGTCACCGAACTTCTCAGCCAGCGCGAGCAACTGCTTGACATCGTCTTCAGTCGCTGTGTCTGGGACCGTGATGGCTGCTGGCGACAGGTGCGGAGGGCCCCGCTGCCAACTTCCACGAGGCGCAGGAACATCACGCACAGGCACATCGACACGTTCACGCTTGCAGTGCTTACAAAACCACCACTTGGCAAGATTTTTTCCACAGCCACAATCCTCATAGCTGCACTTCCACATCGCCTGGCGACCGCCTCCGCGATGATGGGCGTCCTCTCCGTCGACACCTGCGGCGAAGCGAACGCGCTTGGCCCACGGCCGCTCCTCCCAAGGCGAGGCCTTCGGCGGCGGAACCATTGCGACTGCTGGAAGTGGCGGGACGTGGCTGGAGGAACCGAGAGCCAGAATGACTCGCTGTCACCCAGCCGTTCTGGAGCGTCAGTGACAGCAAGCACAAAACTTGTGCCAGAACGGCTAGGTGGAGGTGGAGGAGGAAAAGGAGGAGGAGGAGGAGGAGGAGGAGGAGGGGAGGGATGAAGGAGGCGGAGGGAAAGACCCATTCCTCCAGGTTGCGCGCAAATCCGAGTAATCGATCTGTAACTGACCAAGCGCCTCCTGGTGCGCCTGATTCCCCCGCCCGCCTAGGCTGGGCCACACCCCCATCGGTCCCTCTTGGCCCGTTTCCTCCGCAGGCAGCGAAACTGGCATCGCTTCAAGTAGCGTGCGAAGGAGTGACAGTAGCAAGTGCGTGCGTCTCCGAAGATGCTCGACGAGCGGGCGCGCAGTCGGGGGCTAAGGCAGGTCGGGACAATCGCAAAATTCACGGCTGGCTTCGGGGCCAAGGCGGCTCATGCTGCTGAGTGCGCAAGCGAAGGAGGCTGAAGAAGCACGGGGGATACGTAAGGCAGGATCGTGCAACTCGTACCACCCTCCCCCGTTCCCTGGGAGGGGGAGGGGGGGAGGGGAGGAGGAAGAGCAGGTGGGTAAACAGGAGGGAGAATCCAACCAGCCCTTTCGGGCGTGAGTGGTTTCGAGAGTTTCCTCTCTCACCCATCTTTCTTCCGTTTCGGAGCAGTGCTTACCCCTCCCCCTCACCCCCCTGGGTCTGGAGGGGGCGTTTCGCGAGACGCTGGGGCGTCCAAGGTGGCCTCGGAGAGGAGGCCACAGATTTTTTTCGTCGGCGGCGAGGCGGCCAAATCCGCTCCAGCGTGAAGCCAGATAGGGGCACAAACTAGCGAAAATTGGCCGGCGAGCAGCGAGGGAAGGGGGACGGCCGAGAGGAAGCAGGGACGCTCGGACGCCGAAGGGTTCGACGATGAGCAGCCGGGCGGGCAGCAGCAGCCGGGCGCGCAGGGCCAGAGCGCGGCGGGCGGTCGTGGCCATCCACGGTGGCGAGGGCGGCGGGGAGGGACAGCCAGCGCCCAAGGCCGGGGGAGCACAGCGGAAACCCGCAAACGTCGTGCCGCGGCGCCCCGAGGAGAGGGCACAACACTGGGCCGTGTGGGGGCGGAAGAGTAGGAAACACACAGTCTTTGTTGGCGTTGGTCACATGTTGGCCTCCTCGGGAGGGGGCCTGACTGGGGAGCTCCCCTTTTTTTATCGATACTCTCCTAGATGGCCCCAAGATTACCCCCGAGGCTCCCAAAGGTGCCCCAAGTCGGCCCCAAGGGTTGCCCAGGAGGCCCCCCCAGATGCCCCCAAGAGGCTCCCTAGAGACGTCCAAAACGCTCCAAGAGGCCCCCCAGAGGCACCCGAGACGCCCTACGAGGGCTCGGCGAGAAGCCCGGATTGATTGATTTTACTCCGGTGTTGCCACATGTTGGCCTCCTGGGGGGGAGGGCACCCAAAGTAAGGAGCCCCCATCCTTTGATCGATCTCCTCCTAGATGGCACCATGATGGCACCCGATGATCCCGAACGTGCCCCAAGACGGCACCAAGTGGTGCCCAGGAGGCCTCAAGAGGCCCCAAAGAGGCGCCCAAGATGCCCCCAAGAGCCCAAGAGGCTCCCAAGAGACCACCACAACGCCCCAAGAAACCCCCAGAGGCACCAAAGACACCCCACGAGGCCTCGGCGAAAAGCCCAAACGACTGGTTTTACTCAGACTTTGCCTCATGTTGCTCTCCTGGGGGGCACCCCAAAAAATGAGCCCCCATCCTTTGATCGATCTCCTCCAGGATGGCACCAAGATGGCACCCGATGATACCAAGGGTGCCCCAAGACTGCCCCAAGGGGTTCCCAGGAGGCCCCAAGAGGCCCCAAAGAGGCGCCTAAGATGCCTCCGAGAGCCCAAGAGGCTACCAATAGCCCCCACAACGCTCCAAGAGACCACCCAGAGGCACTCAAGACGCCCCCAAGAGGCACAAAAAAGACCACCAAGAGGTCTCAAGAGGCTCCCCCGAGACACCCAAGACGCATCAATAGGCCCCCGGGGATGCCAAGATACCCCCAAGACACCCCAAGGGGACTCCAAGAAGCTCTTTGAAGAAATCCGAAGAAACTCCGAGGCATCCAAGAGGCCTCTGGCCTTTCTGCTCTCCCTCCTCCTTCTCCTCCTCCTCCTCCTCCTCCTCCTCCTCCTTCTCCTCCCCCTCCGCATTATTCTTCTCCTCCTCCTCCTCCTCCTCCTCCTCTCCTCCTCCTCCTCCTCCTCCTCCTCCTCCCTCCTCCCCCCCCTCCCCTCCTCCTCCTCCTCCTCCTCCTCCTCCTCTCCTCCTCCTCCTTCGCCTCTTCTCTATCATCCACCTGCTCATCCTCCTTCCTTCCTCCTCCTCCTCCTCCTCCTCCTCCTCCTCCCACGCCCTCTCGATCTCCTCCTCCTCCTCCTCCTCCTCTCCTCCTCCTCCTCCTCCCCTGATCTCCTCCCTCTTCCTCCTCCTCCTCCTCCTCCTCCTCCTCCTCCTCATCATCATCATCATCATCATCATCATCATCATCATCATCATCATCATCATCATCATCAACAACATTTTCATCATCAGCAGCAGCATCTGCATCATCATTAACATCAGTATCAACATCATCAAAATCATCATCATCCAAATCAGCATCATCGTCGTCATCGCCGTCATAATCATCATCAGCACCAGCGGTATCAACATCATAATCATCATCATCATCATCATCATCATCATCAGCATCATCAGCATCATCATCATCATCATCATCATCATCATCATCATCATCATCATCATCATCATCATCATCATCATCATCGCCATCGCCCTCCTCCTCCTCCTCCGCCTCCTCTTCTCATCCTCCCCCTCCTCCTCCTCCTCCGTCTCTTCCTCCTCCTCCTTCTATTGCTCCTCGTCCAAGTCCTCCTCCTTTCTCCCCCCCTTGGGGAACGACGTCTTACCTAGCAGTTGATTAAAACTGCGTTCTCCCCCGCGTCTCTGATCAGGGCAATTCGCCAGGGCAATGTTTCTGGATGGGCTGGTGGGACCACGCAGCAAGTGTAACAAACAATGATGCGGACGTTCTTGGGGAGGCGAAGCTGTAAAGCTTATACAGATATGCCTACGTGAATACGTTCACGTATTGTTATCGATATCGGCGTGTCTTCCTCTCTCTCTCATTATTTCTCCCTCGTGGGAATGGAGGACTGCCCCTTCCCACTCATCCTTCTCTCCATCACTAAGATCCGTATGTGCACCCTCGCCACCCCACGCGATCACTACCATCACCGTTATCATCGTGATCAACAGCATCATCATCATCATCATCATCATCATCATCATCATCATCATCATCATCACCACCGGCTCCGTATCCATCATTACGATCATAATTGCCATCAACACCATTGCCACCAACATCGTCACCGTCTCCACCATCATCACCCCCCACAAACATCGCCATCATCTTTGTCGTCAACGCCGGCGTCATTATCATCCTCACCATCACCACAATCACCATCATAATCATCATGCTCATCATCAGCATCATCAGTAGCATTATCAACCCACCAGTAACGCAAATCCCCTTGAATAACATAGTCATATCTAGCATGAACACCCGCATCATCGTCATGTCCCCCTCGCCCTATCAAGTACTAAAGCATGTTGCTCCTGTTGTTGTTGTATCCTCATTGAACCCTGATAGCGGTTGGATAGCGGGAGCACGAGGTGAATGAGGGGACGGTGATGCCCCGGTGGCGGTACCATGGGCCCTGTGCGCAGGGCTCCTGTCGCTCCCAGGAACTTGATGCCCCGGGGTGGCTGTGCGTGGGCTATCCTGAACAAGGCTGAGCGCCTGTGCTAAAATGGCAACAAACAACGGGGAAGGAAAAGGATACACTTTCGTGTTGGCACACGGGGGCGTATCCTCGATGAGCCGTGATAGCGGTGCGCTAGCGGTGAAAAAAGGTGGGTGAGGTGACGGTGATACGCCTTTTTACGGATGGCGGCGCTGGGGGCCCTGTGCGCAGGGCTCCTGCCACTCCCAGAAACTTGATGTCACCCCTCTGCGATGGGAGCGAAACACCAGTAACAACGGAGGAGGGAGGCAGGAGACCCAGAGGTGAGAGAAGGAGATAGGAGACCCAAAAGTGAGCGGAAGGAATCGGGCCCCCACCACCGGACGCCGCGAGCGTCGGGGGCCCATCCGCCTCGTCAACCCCACTCCTTCCCCGCTCCTTCACGACACCGTCGCCGCTGCTCGTCGCTCGCAGGCGCCCAGGGGCCGAGAGGCGCGGTCTCGAAGCCCCACCCGTCCTCCACAATGGGCGAGGTCGAGGCCCCCCTCCCTCCCGGACCACGGCCCCCGCTCGCGACGGAGGGGCCCCAGCCGTGGAGGACGCCCACCGCAGGCCGGGGGCTTCGAGACCATACCCCGCAGGCGCGCCGTGCCGCCGCTCGGAGGCCCCCCCGTGCGCGGGGCCGTCGCCGAACCCCGCCCAGGCCGCGACGGGGGCCGCCGGGCGAGCGGTCGACGGCCCCTGGGCGGGGATGCCTTCTGCGGTGCTGGCCTCTTGCAGGCCGGTGCCTGAGGCTGGCCGTGCGGCCGATGCAAAAAGGGGGCTGTATGGCTGCGGCGACGGCCTGGGCCGCAGTGGGGGAGGAAGAGCAGCAACGGCAGCAGCAGCAGCAGCAGCAGCAGCAGCAGCAGCAGGAGGAGGGAGGAGGGAGGATGAAGAGGCAAAGGATACAGGAACAGGCGGAGGAGGAGGAGGGGGAGGAGGAGGAGGAGCAGGAGGAGGAGGAGGAGGAGGAGGAGGAGGAGGAAGGAGGAAGAGGAGGAGGAGGAGTACTGAGAAAGAAGTGGAGGACGGAGGAACAGGAGGAAAATGAAGAGGGGTGTAGGTGTAAGGAGGTAGAGTAGTGGAAAGGGGAAGGCGATGGATGATGGAGGAGGGGGAGCAGGGTAAAGGGGAAGAGGAGAAAGACAAGGATGAGGAGGATGAGGAGGATGAGGAGGCACGCTCCCCGGGGGCCACGGCGGGATCGTTGGGCTTCAGGGCTTCGGCCAGGCTGGGGTCGTTTTTCAGCAGGCTGGCGAGCGCCTCCGTGGACACCTGAGCCGAATCCTCTTCCCTACTCCATTCCTCGATTCCTCCTCCTCCCTCTTCCCTCCTCCCTCCTCCCTCCTCCCTCCATTCCTCCTCCTCCTCCTCCTTCTCCTCCTCCCTTTCCTTCCTCAATGTGTCACCCTTCCCGCCTCCCTCATGCTCCCTCCTCCCTCTTCCTTCGCCTTAACCCTCTTCCATTCGTAATCCTCCTCCTTCTTTCTCCACCATCTTCCTCCTAATCTCCCTCCTCCTCCTCCTCCTCCTCCTCATCCTTCTCCTCCTCCTCATCCTCCTCCTCCGTCCTCCACCTCCTCCTTCTCCTCCCTCTCCTTCGCTCCCGTCTCCTCCTCCCCCTCCTCCTCCTCCCCCTCCTAATCATCCTTCCGTAAGCGGCTGCGATCTACGGTCATGAATCCGTATATACTAGGAAATTAAGCCCGAAAACATTAATTCCAACTTCTTCTCCTTCTTCTCCTCCATCATCATCCTTGTCCTCCTCCTCCTCCTCCGTCCTCCACCTCCTCCTCGTCCTCCCTCTCCTTCCCGTCCTTCTCCTCCTCTTCCTCCTCCTCCTCGTCCCCCTCCCCCTCCTCCCCCTCCTCCACATCCTTCCGCAAGCGGCTGCGATCTACGGTCATGAATCCCTACGCACTAAGACATTAAGCCCGAAAATATCAACTCCAGCTTCTTCTTCTTCTCCTCCCTCATCCTCCTCCTCTTTGTTCCCGAATGCTCCTGGACAAAGGCACCCTCATGGGCCTGAAGTACCACCGAAAGCATGGCTCTTTTCTCGCCCTGGAGTCTTGCCCGTCCTCTCGAATATCTTTGCAACAATGACCCCCTGGAAATTCGAAACCCCTTCACGGGGGCCCGCTGTGCATCCGAACCTTTTCTTGAGTCCTACGAGAGGCCGGGAACTGCGCAAGACCGTCAGTTCTGATTTTCTCACACCGAGGGGAGCTCTGGGAACCCTGAGATCCGACGTTGCGAGATGAACCCGGTGCGACCCCAATTACGGGAAAACTTCCTATTGCATGGGGGCAGTGCTTGGCATTGCTTGGCATTGCTTGGCCGTTGCTTGGCAGTGCTTGGCATTGCTTGGCATTTCTTGGCATGACTTGGCATGGGTTGGCATTACTTGGCATTGCTTGGCATGACTTGGCATTGCTTGGCATTGCTTGGCATTCCTTGGCAGTATTTGGCAGTGCTTGGCATTGCTTGGCATTGCTTGGCCATTGCTTGGCCATTGCCTGGCATTGCTTCACTGACATTGCTTGGCATTGCTTGGCACTGTTTGGCAGTATTTGGCAGTGCTTGGCATTGCTTGGCATTGCTTGACCATTGCTTGGCCATTGCCTGGCATTGCTTCACTGACATTGCTTGGCATTCCTTGGCAGTGCTTGGCAGTGCTTGGCATTGCTTGGCATTGCTTGGCCATTGCTTGGCCATTGCCTGGCATTGCTTCACTGACATTGCTTGGCATTGCTTGGCACTGTTTGGCAGTATTTGGCAGTGCTTGGCATTGCTTGGCATTGCTTGGCCACTGCTTGGCCATTGCCTGGCATTGCTTCACTGACATTGCTTGGCATTGCTTGGCACTGTTTGGCAGTATTTGGCAGTGCTTGGCATTGCTTGGCATTGTTTGGCCATTGCTTGGCCATTGCCTGGCATTGCTTCACTGACATTGCTTGGCATTCCTTGGCAGTATTTGGCAGTGCTTGGCATTGCTTGGCATTGCTTGGCCATTGCTTGGCCATTGCCTGGCATTGCTTCACTGACATTGCTTGGCATTGCTTGGCACTGTTTGGCAGTATTTGGCAGTGCTTGGCATTGCTTGGCATTGCTTGCCATTGCTTGGCCATTGCCTGGCACTGCTTCACTGACATTGCTTGGCATTCCTTGGCAGTATTTGGCAGTGCTTGGCATTGCTTGGCATTGCTTGGCCATTGCTTGGCCATTGCCTGGCATTGCTTCACTGACATTGCTTGGCATTGCTTGGCACTGTTTGGCAGTATTTGGCAGTGCTTGGCATTGCTTGGCATTGCTTGGCCATTGTTTGGCCATTGCCTGGCATTGCTTCACTGACATTGCTTGGCATTCCTTGGCAGTATTTGGCAGTGCTTGGCATTGCTTGGCATTGCTTGGCCATTGCTTGTTGCCTGGCATTGCTTCACTGACATTGCTTGGCATTGCTTGGCACTGTTTGGCAGTATTTGGCAGTGCTTGGCATTGCTTGGCATTGCTTGGCCATTGCTTGGCCATTGCCTGGCATTGCTTCACTGACATTGTTTGGCACTGTTTGGCAGTATTTGGCAGTGCTTGGCATTGCTTGGCATTGCTCCCGAGGATCCCGAGGAACCCGAGGACCCTCCCGAGGAACCCGAGGAACCTCCCCAGGAGCCCGAGGAACCTCCGAGCAACGGACACAGGAACCCCCCAAGGCACCGGGGGCGGGGAACCCGAGGACCACGGGGCACCTGAGGAACCCGGGGGGCCCGAGGAATCTCGGGCGACGTGCCCCCTCGAGAGGCACCATTCTTCTTGACCACCTCAGGCAAGCCTAACTAGGGAGAAAAAGCAGCATCGCGACGGCTCACGGCAGGAGTCCCAGACCCCACGAGTTCTGCCGCATCTTCCGAGCCGGCTCGATCTGTGGGGGTCCCAGCGCCCGAAGCTGGGCGAGAGAACGCGCCGCGCCAGTGAGAAACTGAGGCGCCCAGAGCTGGGAGAGCGCACGGGAAAGAGGGAGGAGACGGCGGAGGGCACCGACTTTCACCCATGTTAAGTCGGGCCTGTCCCTCTACAGGGGGGAGATTCAAAAAAACTAGAAAAATAGTCTGGGGACTATTTTCAAAGTACGTTTGACCATTTTCGAATATTGTTTGAGTATTTTTATTTTTTCGTCGAACATTCCCCTGTAGGGGGACACGCCCGACTTAACACCCGCGGGGGGCCCTCATCTGAGGGGCAGCGTCAGGGGGGAACCGGCTCAGGGGGGGAGGGGAAGCGTCGGCCTGGAGTCGACGACGCATCGCCGATAGATCGGCGATGTATGAAGGGGCCCAAGGACACACAAATAGATACACACACTAATCAAAAGATTCCCCATATTTGCCCATGTTTTCTGGGTTTTCGTCTTCCCCCCCACTTCCAATATTTTCCTATATTTTCTGGGGAATCGACGATTACGTGTGTCTGTGTGTTTCATTCCCTCCTGAATGTAGGGCCCCCCGGGCAGCGAACCTGCGCGATGCTGGGCGGGCAGGCCCGTGTCGGCGATCAGTTGGCGAACGGGGGTCGATGCGTGCCCCCTTGGGCCGATCCCCCCCCCCGGATCCTTGCTCGTGATGGGGGGCGCAGGATGGAGAGAGGGGAGGCGGCGGACGGGGGAGGCACCGGCCTTCGCCTGTGGGTGCCCGCCTCTCGGGCGCTCGCCAGATGGGGGGGGGGGCCGTGCACGGGGGGGGGGGTGCAGAGGCGCGCACCCGTCGTGCACCTTTGGGCCCGCAGGCGCAGTTCAGGGGCCGTGTCGGGCCCCATCAGGGCCCCTCCCCTGCAATCCTCGATCCCCCCAAGCTTATCGAAGGGGCCCTGGGACACAGAAAAAAATACACACAAATAACAAGATTCCCCTGTATTGTTCCATATTTTCTGCGATTTTGTTTCCCCCCACTTCCCATGTTTTCCCATATTTCCTGGGAGTCGACGATTAATTGCGTCTGTGTGTTTTTCCCCTCCTGCCATCCTCGATCCCCCCCAGCTCGTTGCCCCCCCAGCTCGTTGCCCCCCCTTCTCCATCCCCCCGACCCAAGGCGATC